GAGTAGATATATATACAAATATATTATATGCTATATGTGTCAACAATATCATGGAAAAAAAGAACTAAATGTGTTTGTATAATATGTGTTTTTTTTTTCTTTAAGTCTCAACTATGAGCACAGCCAATTGCCAGCATTGTTATAATGCCCAAGTATTTGTAAGCAGCCGGCAAGCCTAGCTCTCAAGCCAGCTGCTGAACGCGCAGTTTGGAGATCAATCGGAGTCAATGACAGAATTGGAAAGTCCTTGTTACTCAAAGGGAAAAGACAGTTGAGAATGATGTTCGGGCATTCTTTGTTCACCCTAACCGTCCCGTTCTTCACGCATTTTAAACTCAATCGCAACAGGCCTCCTCGACAATTTTCCTTGCATCTCATGTAAGACCTTCATTATTATTTTTTTAAGTGTATGTTTTGTGCTTGGTATTATGTATTATTAATTTATTATTATTATTAATGTTATTATTTATTATTATTAATTATATTTGAGGCAGAAATTATAAAACGTAATATAATAAAATAATAATAACATTAATAATAATATAATAATAATATAATAATACAAAGCACAAAACATACACTAAAAAATCATAATAATGAAGGAGTCCTTACATGAGATGATGAAGGTGTCGAGGGAGCCTGTTGCGTTGAGTTAACAATGGGGTGAAGAGGGGCACGGTAGGGTGACAAAGGAATGCCGGAACACTCATTCTCGACTGTCTTTTTCCTCTTTGACGTAACAGGACTTCCAATTCTGTCATCTGACTCTCGATTGATCTCCAAACTGCGCTTCAGCAGCTGGCTTGGAGCTAGGCTGCGGCGCTACAAATATTTGGTGCATTAATAACAATGCTGGCAATTGGCTGTGCTCATAGTTGAGACTTAAAAAAAAAACACATTATAACAAACATATTGTAGTTCATTTTTCTTCCATGATATTGTGACATGTATAGCATATAATATATTTGTATATATCTACTCAGAACTGAATAAACAAATAGAATAATAGCACATTAAAATGTTTAAGTTTTAAAAACAGTGTAACTGTCAAAAAAATGTACTGCATAAAGTAACCCCATGGCTTTAATGTTTCCCACCACAGCAAACATCTCCAACATACATTCTGCATGATATAGCATGATCTGTTCCTCATTTATTGATAAGCTGTCAGAACGATCAACATGTTGCTCTATACTCTATGTTGTCAGGACATTGTTTTGTTTGCCTTTACCAGAGAGCAAGACACGGAGGCCAAAACATTGCTAGATTAAAACACACAAGCCAAGATTTGATAAGCAACTGTGACCTTATCTTTGCCTTGCACACATTATATGTTCTATCTATTTTTTATGGCCTTAAACCTTCTTTTTCTTTGTCTGTAAAGTCTTACTCTGGACAATTACCCAGACCATACAGTAATAAATAATAATCAAATTACTTAGCACAGAATATGCTTACCATTTTTAGATATTCATATTTCCTTCAGCTCTGTATATGCGACACTAATGACCTGCAATCGGAAACAAATAATAAAACCTTAATTAAGCAACCTCTTTCTATAAAATATTATATTCGATTTGCTGAGAATGAATTCCGCAAATGTTCTTTCCATGTAAGTGATGTAACAAGAACATTGAACATCCTAGAAATCAAAATACCTCATAATACAAAATATATCTTCATTCAAATTCAATATACATACAAATCCGATAACTACCTTCACTACTGATGATATGCCGCTAGTTACGTCATTTACATCCTTCAGTTTCCTTCAATTTCCATTAATTTCCAGTGAATTGCTTTACCAAAACAAGAGCGAAAATTATATTTTAGGCGGGCGATAAGGACCTAAATCTTAGATATATAGAATCAAGCTTTATATAAAAAGAATTTACTTTGTTCAAAGTATTTTTCGAATCTATAAATGTTAAAAAGACGATGCTCTTTTGTTTTTTTGACTTATCCTTCAGCTTTTGAGATTTGTTTACATTTTCATTCGTGTTTATAGATTTGAAGGTTTGATTCACTCTCTCTTGAAATTGAATGTCAAAGGAAGCCAGATAAGTGCTTGGGGAGAAATTAAGAGAGCAAAACTAGAGTTTAGGTTATAGTAAAACAAAAATTAGGAGAGTAAGAAATTAATTTCTTTATATTTCCATGTAAAACATAAGAGGATATTTTTTTCTATGACTCATTCTCGCTCCTTTCTCTGCATCGTATTACGCGACAGATTTTTTTTCTTTCTTTTCTTCAGTTTTTCGTGAATAGTTCATATCTATCTTGTTTTGCAGCATCTTCAAAACCTTATTTTTTAATTAGAAATACCCTGGTATGATATATAAACAACCTCAGATTATCCATGATGCAATTAGAAGAGCACAGCGATGTACAACGAGTGTCATTTTATGTAGCTGGAGCTTTAGCTAATTACACCAAATAAACCAACTTCAAGACTTCTTCATATCTAAAAATACGCTGATGGTCCACCGTAGGAATGGGTCGAGGAGAGTTATGCTTATTAGACAACAAATGAGCACAGAAATTAAAGATAAACAAAAAAAAAAAAAAATATCAAGCATTAAAGGACAATTCGGAAACACCGAACAACACTTAGAAAGAGGTGAGTTGAGTAAAATAATAAATTATCAGAGATAAAAAGATGATAATGATAATGATAATAACAATAATAATAAAACAAGATACATATGGACATAAATATCGAACGTCATTCCTAAGCTTCTTTTGGCCTCGGACTCGGTGTGCAAGCGACCTCCTTCCCCAACCCAGAGTAAACATGAAGTTGATTGATTGATCGGGGATGAAATAATTGATGGAATAATCTCTCCTCTTCCTCTGAATCCGACCCCGAGATGGCTGGCCTCATCAAAAACCAGATCCTGAAACACTTGTCGAAGTAAGGAGAGCGAGGGAGAAGTGTGTGGCGAAGGGAAGTGACGTATGAGGCGAAGGTTTCAAGGGGGGAGATCGAGAGTCTATGTGGCAATTCGATTTTGATTCGGGGGTTATATTTCGAGTTATACTTGATTGAATTAGGTGTTGCTGTTCATCAATCTTTGCATTGAGATTTTCGTGAACGTTTGTAGGAATAACTGCTATGACGAAGGAAGGCATCTCGAATGTCAAGTCGCCAAAGTTGTTGGAGTTTTCCTTATGTCATGTTTGTTACTGTCAGATTGATATGTATTCGGTCCAGAGTATTCTTTGAGTTGCATTATTTGCTTATAACTTAGAGATAAAGAGATAGTATCAGTATAGCAAATGAAATTGGAGGTCAGTTCCAAGATGGTAGTCTGTAAGAGATTATTAGTATTTTTTTTATTGCAAATTATGGAGATGAATATTTACCATAGATGTTTGCTTGTATTTTAGTGTAGATATGATCAGACTCTTAAGTTAAGTTTGTGTGTGAATTACAGGGTGATTTAAAGTGGGGTATTTCTATACCATTAAACAAAGAATAAATGTTGAAATTCAAAATAATTAAAGTGTCAATATTATTGTAGGCTCTCTTTCTGGACCATCCTTTCAAAATTATCTCAAGGACATTTCAAGGTCACTGGAACATTAAATTTTTTCAATCTTCACAAATGATACCTTTCTCATGTACAATATTGGGAGTCGACATATCTTGTTTGAAGTCACTTTCAAAGAGGATTTCCCATTATACAGACATCACAAAAAATCTAGTAGCAGTTATAGTTGACTTCATATTATTTAGTATTAGCATAGTGTATGGTAGCAGAGCCTTTTCTTAGTCATCTCTGTCAGCAAATTAATTGAAAGGATAAGAAAAAACAAATCTGATAAGAAACGTATGTTAATCCGTATGAATAATCATAGTTTTTCTTCATAGAATTTGTATAATCTACCATCATTTTCAATAAGAACACAGATTGATGGGCCAGTCTACTCTGAAATGCTCTCTCAAGAAAAGAATTTATGCATAGCAGGATTAAGAGAACAATTTTTTTTTATCATTATGAATATGAAAACTATGTGTCAGTTAAATGTCAGATTACTTTTATTCTTCCTGAAATGACCATAAACTTCACAGAAAATTCACAGTATTACTGTTGAAAATTTGGAGGCTAAGATCAAGAAAATAGAAGACAGGGACATAGATTTGTCTCATGACAAGTGACCCTTCCATAGGGAATATAAATATCTTTCTTTTATTCAGCTTTTTATTTGCATGAATTTAGAAAAAGTTATTTAGATCATTAAGTGTAACTGTTTTATTACAGATTTGCAAAGAACTTGTCATCAGATAGTGTGAATGTGAGCACACTGAAGGGAGAGGGTGAGCTCACCAACTTGGAGCTCAATGAAATAGTTCTCACAGACCTCCTTGAACTTCCGGCTTGGTTGCGGATAAAACGGGCATTAGTGAATCGCGTTAACCTCAAGATACAATGGACCAAGCTCAAGAGTGTGCCCATTTTAGTGGTAAGAGATTCTCTGCTTCATTCTATGTTCTACTCATTCTTTATCTTTGGGAAGAAGAATACAAGTATTTTTCTCTAGAGCCACTGCATGTATTTCATCAAGTTTTGTTCTTGTTGCATTCTGTTTTGTCATGAATATTATATATTCACTATTATTTGTTTATTTGTCTATTCATTTATTTATATTTTTTGCTGCAGAGCCTGGATGAGGTGCAGGTAGAGATGGAAACATGTACAGACCTGCGCTCTCAGACCAGCTCCTCCGTCCTCCCCTCCTACAGCTCGGGTGGACGCTATGGTTTTGCAGATAAAGTCATTGATGGCATGACTGTCACCGTGAACTCTGTTCTCATTACATTCTGCAGTCCAGCTTTTCATGCTTCTTTCCAGGTATTCAATAATTGCTGTCTAGCTTCTGCTTAGCAAGCTTTTTTGTGTCTTCTTTGAAGCTTAGTGTTACTTCCTTTTGTTTTATAAGAGTTCCAACATTTACTTGTGTAGCTTGGTAATATGATTATTTCAATATCTGAGTGAGAGAGGCATACTGGAATTTTTCTTGTATGTATTTTTTGTAGAAATCAGTGTGAGCTTATTTTAACATTCATATAACTATTTGATTTGGCCTATGTGTGCTGTCAGTGTATGTTTATTTAGTGAGTGGTTGTAGTTATTATGTAATCAGTTATCCATTGTCAGTGAATAGTTAGTTATTATTACTTGGAGTCTTGTAAAATGTACTTGGATTTGTTTAGACTTCATTTCATTTTATTCATTTTGAAGAAAAGATAGATTTCATATAGCTCCTTATGGTAACCCCAATGTTTTCTCCATTTTGCAAAATCATAAACTTGATTGTGACATGATATTTATTTGTTAGTTTAGTTGTTACTTGTTTTCTAGGCTAGTTTTTAAATTGTCTTTACACTATTATTTCAGCATTTCCTGATAGTCTTGTAATGAAATGCTTATACGTTTTCATGCTGATCTTTCCAATTATACTGCATGCATATATTTTATGGATAAATATTTTAGATGTTGAGATTCAAGTTTCATTGACTTACTGTCTATAATGTTGTTTTTTTAATTGTTCTTCATTATTCATTAATTTTTTTTTTCTCCTTCTTCTTTTTGGACAGGAAAGGAAACAATATTAAACTTATGTTTTTCGGAAAATCCTTTTCAAAATTTATCTAGGCATAGTCTGGAAGTCCAATGTATTCAGAAATGTTATATGTTTTTCTGTCCCATCTTTGTTTTCAGGTTGTTTCTCTTTCTTTCCTTTTCCAGTCTTTTCCAAAGTTTCGTTAGATCATTAGTAACATTAGTGTGCTGCTGTTTCTTATAATTTGAGATTCCTTTGTTGTTTCCTACTCTTTGTGGTAAGTGCAGATCATTTATCTCTCCATTTCTTTTATTTATCTGAGTTGATTCTGATTATCAATACTTTAGAAGTGATTTTGAATATTTCATGATAAAGAAGAAGTAAGTAAATTTTTTATGCATTTGATATGGTAGTTACTGGTAGTTATAAACTACACTCAGGCCTTACTGGGAATGCCATGCAATCGCTCTCACACGCCTTGGAACACACCTCCCTTTTCATAGAAGTGTGGTTTATCACATGCTTTGATCCAGAATGGCGAACTATTCTTGCTATGAATTAAACCTTTGAAACTCAAATCATTTATCCATCAATGATCAGCTACTTCAGCTTCAGTTTCAAGGTGTTGTGTGGTTACCAAACGCAGAACAGCTGTTTTTGCCATGCAAGGGAATGGCAAAGCTGCATATCTGCCAAAAAAATTCCCAGTAAGGCTTGACATATGGAAAAAAAATCCTGATGACAGTCTCTTTAAGAATAGAAAAGGATGAGATTTCTCTAGTATTTTATAAAGATAAAATGTATTTTAGTGTGAAATTGAATTAGTATATGTCTCATTCACTATTTCAGTTTTTGCCTTTACATTATCATTCTTATATTAATAGTGTTTCCTGTATTATGTATCTCTTATATGCATTAGATTTATTAATTAGATTGTGTGAAAACTTTCTCCATTAGTGTAATATATGCAGTGTAAGAATGTAATGTATTCAGTTTACGGTGAATTGGTACTTGAGAATTATTTTTTCTCAACCGCTCCTTTCAGTCAGAAATATTAGGAACAGGAACTAAATATTGACATCTTTTCCCTTTGCAAATATCAGCTCTCACGCATCATGCTGGACTCCAAAAACCCAAACTGGCAGAAAGCTGATCTGCGCATGACCAGGCTAAAAGAACCAGACAAGGGGGAACTTCTTATCTTCAAAGAGGTATTAGTTTCATGTGCTTGTAAGAAAAAATATGGTGGATGGTTGATATAGATCCTGTTTATTTATTTCTCTCTTGCTCTCTCTGTCTCTTTGTTTATGAGATGATTATTATATATAATTTATATTGTTTAGTGATATACTTTGATGAAACAAATTTTTACTCTTATTTTTATAATTACTATATATTTTTGTCATTCACAGCTTTCATGGCAGACCTTGAGAGTGGAAGCACGGTCTACCAGAGACCAGGGACTGACTCCTCTGCGACTCATCACAAACCAGGCTCGCTGTCGCATCACAATAAAGAAGAGGCTTGCTGGTGAGCTGAGATAAATTTCCTTAGTGTCGGTCTCTCCTTTGAGAAATACACTTTTTTGTCATCCTCTAGGATGCACAGACCTAGAGTGGAATAGAAGAAAACAAGATTAACCACATGCATGTGCACACATGCCATGCCCACTATGTTTGATTTAGTAATTGTTTTTACATATAGATGGCTCCACAAGTACTAGGTCAATGATCAGCCAGTTACAAGAAGTACCTGTCTCGCCTGTTTACCATTTTCCTAGGTTTTTGATAATATTTTCTAGTATTTAATACTGCTAGGTCAATAACAATATAATGATTATAATGTTTATAACAAAAATAACACTATCAATATTGATAGCCTTAGTAAAAATAAGTATTTTCCCATTACTTCAAGGAAAGGAGGGATCACAAG